ATTATATATATATATATATATATATATATATATATATATATATATATATATATATACACACATTAATGGGAAGAAACCTTGCTTTTAAACATTTTTCGTTAAATATGACGGATAAGTAACATTTTATTAATTTTCTTTTTTGTATTTAGTTTTTCCAGCGTTCTTACATTTTTCCGTTTGGTGGGAGTGAGAGAATACAAAAATCTGTCCATATCGTCGATTGTCCCAAGCGTTATCGACCTCTTCTTTAGCCATATATATAGTTATTTTCCAAGCGTAGCTTAGATGTGGCACAAGGCCGAAAGTATGGGGCACCTAGTGAGGATCGAAGTCACTACTCAGTCGTAACAATTCTAGGGAGACACAGTTGCTAACCATTACACCGCCTCGAGGTGTCCCTTTAGCTCTCTCTCTCTCTCTCTATATATATATATATATATGTGTGTGTGTGTGTGTGCGCGTGTGTGTGTGTGTTTTAGAGAGACTCTGTGTGTGTGTGTCTATGTATTAGCATATGGATGCGAATACAATGATAGAATTAACTTTTAGTTAAATTGTAATATTTATACAAAAAATTATGACGGGAAAACTTGCACACACGTAAACGAAACACACAAATATATATATATATATATATATATATATATATATATATATATATATATATATATATGAATGAAAACAGTACTTCAATGTCACTGGCTTTAGCGACTAAACGTTTCATGTGGACGTAAAGATGGTAATGTTACTGTCACAAAATCCTCAGGCGGAAAAATTGATATAATAATTATGTAAATGAATTTTTGGTTTATTTCACAACATATATATATATATATATATATATATATATATATATATATATATATAGTCTTAAGATCTCCTATATTTATGGGACTATATGCTCAATATCAGAGATAAACCTTGTGTAAATATAAAAGTGAACATAGAAGTCAACACGTAGAAGCGACAGTCTGTTTCATGCTATATGCAGTTGTCTGACGATTGCATATAGCATGAAACAGACTGTCGCCTCTAAGTGTTGACTTCTATGTTCACTTTTATATATATATATATATATATATATATATATATATATATATATATATATATATGTGAGGAGATTGTCCAGCGTTCAGTGCCCTATAGGAGGACTTATATTACGTATGAGTTCAGTACTCTTTTCTTTATTTCCAACGAAATTTTTACTGTTTCTTAATACCTTTCTTAGCTTTTGGAAGGCCTCTTATCTGTCGCACTGCTCCGTCGGGTTTCGGTGTTGCACTTTCCGCCCATTTTTAAAACACTTCACAGATATTTAAATTCGTTCTACTTGTTTGATTTTGATATCTCCAATGTGTAATTTGCATGCTGGGTTGTCCCTTTTGCTAACAACCATACGTGCGTTAAATTCCAAAATAACATTAGTTTAGTCCGTTGAAGTACTTTCCGAAGACGAAACGCGTTATATTGATTTTTTCCAATATTGTCATTCATTTGATTAGCATTGTTTTGATATATAGAATTTATATATTAAAGTCTCTTACAGTGAATTTTTTTTATTATTTCGCCACAACCCAAAGCAATAAAAACATCTATAATGCAAGGGAATTAATGGAAGTGAAAGAAACAACGAGGGCAATAAAAGAACAGGTTTTCAAGGGAAAAGATGACAATTGACATTGCATTTAAATTGTTGAATATCATAGTTGAAATAAAGGCAGGAAGCCGGAACTGAGTTCGTAATCGTAAGCTATAAGCGAAGAAACAGTTAGCATAGAACCTACGGTTACAGCTAGCAATTTCAACATTGATATTATGAGACCTAACTGTCAATCAAGTTATGCACTTAAATTCATAAAGTTGAGTACCTGTTGTGGTAGGATCCACCTAATTTGCATAGTGGAGTACCGACCATATAAATATGGTTGGTACCGGGAAGAGTTGAGAGGAATCAAGAGATTCAATCCAGAGACTCTGCCCGACTGCGTCTAAGTCAACACATTCTCCAGTAACGGTCTTCCCAAGAATATACAAAAGACTATATGTAAATATTGTGTACATTTTCTTGTTCAACACATTTTGTTCTAAGTACATTTTGTGTTGCATTATTATTCTATGCATTAGTCAAGATTCAACAGTACCAAAGAGGAAAGCTCATCAGAAAAGTTACCATGAATATATTTATAAAAGAAACTGTAATCCTTCTCTTAAGCGGCGTAAAATAAACCTCTATCCTTTTAACGGCGTAAAATCAATAAGATCAAGCTATATACGTTTATTACAATTAAACATTATTACAACGGGCAACTGTGGGCGACGCAGCAAAGAAATGCTGAAAACACTTCACTGTTTTTGTACTGCAGGATCCATAAAATGCTGCTGATGAATAACAACATCATGGGAGTGTATCCTGCGGTTGATTTCCTCGATTCCAGCATAAGCAACCCAGTCATATGAAACATAATGGCTTCCAGGCTGAATATACCGCACAATCACCTCTTTCAGAGTATCTGCTCGCCGATCCTGCGACTCAACTAAGAAACACTTTCCTGTCCCCGCCCGATATACTAGAATACCCAAATGGCCAAGACGCCATTGGCCACGATGCTATTTACAATGAAAAAAAAAACATTTAAAAATATAAAATGACGTAGAATGAAACAAAATTTTGGATTACCAAAGAGGCAAAGGGAAGCTACGCTAAGACGAGATGCCAGGTTAACACCAATAACGTTGCCTGTTCTTCTTTGGATTTTGTCAAGAATGTTTAGACCTATAACAGACCGTCCTGGGTATGAGGATAAACAACATCCACGTTCTGTGTAAAATGATAAACTACATCCAAGGCCTCTGATCAGGAGGTTTTGAGGAGCGTGGAACCACTTCTTAATGGCCACTATAGCACCTATTATGATCCCAGCTATGGATAAATAGTTAACCCCAAACTGGGGTCAAAACACTATGAAAGTGTAAAAATAAGTTGTAATACCAGAAATACTTTGTAAAAAATATTACCAGAAATAAATTTTTGAAGCAAAAGTTTTACCACCAATACATTTTTGAAAACAAAAGATTTTTACCAGCTATACAAGAAAAAAAAAAGATCAGCAATAAAAAAAAAAAAAATCTTGTGGGAATTAAATAACCCATTGAGGTTGATATGCCGTAAAACTAACCAAACCAAACCAAACCTATAACAGAAGCAGCTGACTAGATGTGGCAGCAATATTCGATGCACGGAGGAATGGTCGAATTTAAGAGCGTGTAGAGTTGTTGGGAGTGTTCCCGCGTGTGTGTATTCGAATAAAGACAAACACAGTTGTAGGGATAAATACTGGTATATTTGTAAGAGGTAATTAACAACAGAGTGATTAGTAATAAGGAACGCCGGTTAGTAAGTAACAATAGCTAAAGTCTACAGTCCAACGGTATGTAATGGTAACCTGATCTCGACTGCTGTCGCTGAACCTGATCCTTCACACAACACCACTACTCTCTCTAGCACTGACTTATATCGTAGTGGGATAAGTCCATTATCAGTCAGAAGGTGGGTGCGCCCCAACAGAGCGATTCTGGCGAGATGAATTGTCTAGCATGACATAGTAAATCGACTTTACGAACGGCAGACTTTGCAATTGATTCCATGTAAACAGATTCATTTTGAAGTCGGTTTAAAATTTATAGGTTACTTCTTGCCCCAGTTAACAACAGATTGTGGGTCTTTTTTTCCAGCTCGGTTGCCAATTTGTCCTTATCGAATCGATCCGACTTACTATTTAGAGAGGTCAATGTTTGTGTCGCCAGCATAGATACCGAGTTATATCAGGAAAGGAAAGTCATTGATGAAAATTAGAAACAAGGTAGTTCCAAGGAGAGAGCTCTAGGAAAGTCGGAAAATCACTAAGGACGAGATGCCATGTCATGACCAATAACATTGCAGGTTCTTCTTTGTATTTTATCATGGATATCTAAATATGTAGAAGAAGCAAGAGACCAGATGTGGCAGCAATATTCGATAGATTATATATTTTCGCTTTCATATTGTGTCAGTAGTTGACCTCTTTATGTTTTACCGAAGTTCTGAGATTTAATTATTTTTTTAATTATTCCATGCTAACATAATCTTAATAGCAGAAGAACCTAAAAAGAATTAGTGGACATCGGTGGACATAATTTTAATAAACTATTATACGTAGATACCACTTAATGAGGGCAGAGTCAGAAATGAATTAGCAAGAGAGAGTCCACTAGTAACCAAGGAAGAGAATGTGACACAGTAATCCCAAGATGCATTGGGAGAGCGAAGAGCAAAGAATGAAAGGTATTAGGAGATGTGGAAAGTTTCGTTAGAGACAAAGAAATGTATACTGAAATGTCTATATATATGTCTAGACATATATATCCTTCTATATTGCAAGGAGTTGTGAGTTCAATATCTGGTTAAGGCAGTAGAGAACTTGGAGAGGGGAATTAACAGATAACTGATAACTGATATCCATTAGACATAGCACGTGGGACTAGAACTGTCTACACGACAGCTAGCGAAATAAAGAGTTCAGTTCGACATTCAAACTACCTGAAGAAGGCCGTAGCGTACATCGGCCGAAACGTTGTAATAAATATGGCAACAAAGATGAGGACAGTAGTCCGAATAATGCAAATAGTGGGCAATGAAGAAATTCGCAACGACTGAGATATAGTTATACAGATGGATACTAAGATTAACTGATTGATTGGTTTCCTTTTTTTACGGTTTACCGCCCCTTTGCAGGTTATTTAAATCCAAGCGATATTTTTAGATTATAAGAATTTTTTTTCGAAATAATAACGATTTGCTGATACAATTTCTACCAATTAACCTATAGCTGGTGGGGGAGGGAAGAAGAAGTGAATTCATACCTTTTCCCCAAGGGTATTGACGTGGAAGTGAATTTAACGAACCCGACTGGAGTTGGAACTTGGCTTCCCAATTCCAGTCGTTGTCCATCGAAATATCTAAGCTTACAGCACCTGATTTTCTCAAGTGGTTACTCATCTAGACACTGACCACGCTCAGCGTTGCTTAACTTCGTTGATCGTACGAGAACCGATGTTTGAACG